AGGCCAGGGGGCAGCTCCGCTCCGAACCGGGTCACGTTGTGAAGTCAGACTTAGTGGGACCAGATTGTCCAGTTTCCAAGAAAAGCCAGAACCCAGACCTTGGTGTCAAATCTCCTGGGTTTTACATGTTGGCAGCTCATCAGAATATTTTGAAAAACGGACTGTGGGACAACCAGACGTGTCTGTGAACTGTGTCCGACCTGAGGGCTGAGAGCCTGGGACCTCTGGCCCGTGGTGATGGCAGTTTCTGCGGGACCACCCCAGCAGTGTGGCGCTGTGGCCAGTTTGCACACTGGGCCTCTGGAGGCCACGGGGTGCTGGCGTCTGGCTGGTCACTTGCGGCTGTGTGCGCTGGCTTGAGGCTCATGCCATCCCCATCAGCCCTGCTCTCCCCGGCACTACTGGGCAGGGCGCCTCACCCGTCCTACAGGTGGAGAAGCTCCAGTTCAGGTGTGCGGACTCCAGGGGGCCGCCCCAAGAACATATCGCCACCTCCCCCGGTACAGCCACCCCCTTTGGAGGGACAGAACCTTGTCCCCATGCTGGCTGAGGGGCTGGAGGCAGGGAGCCACAGGCTGGGGTTTCGGCAGAGTCTGGTCTCTGAGTACCCGGCTCCCCAGCCCTCCCCAGCAAACACTGGCCCAAGTAAGGCCTCTCCACCCACAAGCCCACTGAGGCCCCCATCTCTGCTGTCTGGTTTACAGTTTCCCAAGCCCTGGTCTGCTGTCAGAGTTGGTCACAGAGATGCTACCTGTGAGCAAGGGTGTCACTCAGGACCCCAGTTTGGATGGAGGGAAGTTCTTGCCTGCTTCGGGCCTGGCTGGCCGGGGCAGCTGAGACAAGTCCTGTCCAGCTTTCTCTGGCCTGTCACCTGTCTTGGTGGGCAGGTTGTAAACATGTCACCAGTGCTCCCTTGAATGTCCTTCCTGCCAGGACAGCGGCCTCTGCAGCCACCTGGGCTTCACGATGCCTGGCTGCCGGGTCCCAAGCTCTACCCACTCCTCACAGAACCTCATCCTTGGCTGCAGAGAGGGGACAGGACAACAGCCACCTCCTGGGTGTCCCTGAGGTCACAAGTGCAGAGGCCACAGGCCTCTGATGCTGTGCGAGCCATGCAAGACAGGTTGGCAACCACCTTCCTCCTCCACCCAACCCCTGCGTGACACACCGCATAGCACTCCCCTTCCTCTGTCCCTGCTCCTTCTCTCAAGGACGGGCCACTCCAGCCTCACGGCCAGGGCTCTACCACCAGGGTCTCCTGTGCCCTCCAGAGCTCCATCTGTGCCTCCGCCATCTTCCCTTGACTCCTGTGGACGTACAGATTCTCTGTGTGTTTATGGCCCACCCTGCCAGGGCCCTGGGCTGGCTGACGGCTTTTCTCTTGTGACATTCTGGTGAGTGGCGGGTATTTCTCAAGAATGAACTGGATGCAGACACAGCCTTTGAGATGTGACCTGTCCTGCAGCTAAAAGACTAGACAGAAAGTGGAGAGCCCGTCACCCCTTTCACAAGAGGCTTTTTTTTTTTTTTTTTTGGGTTGGAGTCTCACTCGGTCGCCCAAGCTGGAATAAGTGGCATGCTCACGGCTACCCCAGCATTGACCTGCTGGGCTCCAGCGATCCTTCCTGCCTCAGCCTTCCAAGTAGCTGGAACTATAGACATGCGCTACCATGCCCGGCTATTTTTTATCTTATAGTAGAGACGAGGTCTCACCCAGTTGCTAGGGCTGGTCTCAAACCCATGGGCTCAGGCAATTCACAAGAGGCTCTTGAGCGATTGTGTGCCAGCTGGTAAGACAGGTGCAGCCTGTGATGCCGGGCACGGACCACCCCAGAGCACTCTGGTATCTCTGACCTCTGAGCAGCTCAGTGATACCAGCGGATGAGGTGGCTCAGGGCTGACCTGTCCCAGGAAGTAAGTGGCAGGTGAGGCCAAGATCTATCTAGGTCAGCGGTTCTCTGAGTGTGCTCCCTGGACCAGCAGCCCCAGCATCTGCTGGGAATTTGCCAGAAGTGCAAACTCAGGCCCCATCTCAGCCCTGCCAAATCCAGTGCAGGAGTGGAGCCTAGCACTGTTTTCTTTTTTGAGTTGGAGTCTCACTCTGTCGCCCAGGCTGGAGTGCAGTGGCCACTCTCGGCCACCGCAGCCTCGCCTGCTGGGCTCCGGCGACCCTTCCGCCTCAGCCTTCTGAGTAGCTGGAATTACAGGCATGTACTACCATGCCCGGCTGATTTTTTGATTTATTGTAGGGATGAGGTCTCGCTGCCCAGGCGGGACTCGAACCCACGGGCTCAGGCAATCCACTCACCTCAGCCTCCCAAGGCGCGGGATTACAGGCTGAGCCACCGAGCCCGGCCCAGCACTGTTTTAACAAGCCCTCCACATGGTTCGGAGGCCTGCTCAAGCTTGAGAGGCCCCAGTGTAGACCGCTTAGAGGTCCCAAGACAGTGAGGGTTCGAGCGGGAGAGGGTGGGGGAAGTTGGCCCTGCGGAGAGCGGCCGGGTCGGGCAGGGGAGAGACGGTGGTGGCCTGGCCGAGGCAGTGACAGGACCAGAGGAAGTGGCAGGTGACACACTGCACAGGACATGGTGGATGGACTGAAAGGTGGCCCTTTGGAGACAAAGGACGCAGCAGCAGATCTTGGGGGTGTGAGGGTCAGTGGCCGAGGTTCCTCGTGCAGCAGAGCAGGTGTCCACAGCAACGCAGCCAGGCCCTGGAACACGGATCTGCGTGTCCTTGGGTGTCATTGAACTCCCAGAGCCGTGTTCTCATCTGTCAGTGAGGGAATGCTAACCTGCTGCACAGGTGGTTGTGAGGACGCTGGTGTCCTCCCGCAGGCAGGGGTTGCTTTGGGGACACACATCCCTGCATCCCCAGCTCAGAAGCCCCTCATCAGAGCTAGTGTTTGCTGGGCACCTCCAGGCCCTTTGCGTGAGGTAGCTCAGTCCTCACCGAGGAGGAAACTGAGGCAACACAGAGGTTAAGAAACTTCCCCAGGGTCTCACTCTCACCCCCTGCTGTGTCCCAGTGTGTGTCCTGAGGGACCCCTGCAGGGCAGTACGGCTCAAAAACGCTGCAAATAGAGCAAGATGGAATCCCAAAGGATGTCCAGATAGCCTGCAAGAACGTAAGGCAAGAGGGGGCAAACAGAAAGCGAGTCAGAAGATGGCACCTGCGGGGCAGGGCTCCCGGCGCAAGGAGAGGCGGCGGGAGGCAAGGGCCTGCTGCCCGTGGTCTGGAGAGGCGGGCTGCGGGCAGGTCCGAGCGAGCGTGCGGGGCTCCCAGACCGGGTGCGGCGGCGCACAGAGGCCCGGCGCAGCAAAGGGGCACGGCTTTGGGAAGCCCGGCCTGGCCGGTGGGATTTGGAGAGGTCCGAGTGAACCTCTCGCTGGGTGTGTATCAAGCACCTCCGCGGGGGTCAGAGGCGAGACCTCAGGCAAGAGCCCTCCTCCTCGGACAGAAGCTGCCTAGTTGGTAAAATGCAGCCATGATTCCTGCCTCCTGGCTCAGGGCGACAGTGGCACCCAGCAGACCTTGGGCATGGCCTGCCCCAGGGTGGCCTCATGCCCAGTCGCTCAGGGCCGGGCCCTGTCCTCTGTGTGTTAAAACCTGGAGCTGCCCCCACCTCCTGGGCCCTGCAGCCCTTTCCCCGCTTTGGCTACTCACAGCAGCCCAGGGCTAGTGGTCAGGCACGCCAGAGCCCTGGTGGGGAGGACCAGGTGCACGCGCCGGCTGCTAGCTTGCCAGTCTGTCCAGTGCCCCCATGGCTGCCAAGTCCTCGTGTCCTGAGTGCTCATAAGCATCAGGCTTTTCATTTACATCTCACTTGTTACAAAGGGGAAAGTGTTTTGACAGAGTTTGGATTCAGACTCAGGGGAAACCCCAGCTCCTCCTCCTCTGAGCTCCGTGACTGGGGCAAGTCTTTTCTCTCTCTGAGCCTGACTCCTTGTCTGTCAAATGGGCACAGCCACCACTGACAAGGTGATGGTGATGAAAGGATGCCCAGAATGCAGCCTAGTGACCTTGACAGATATTCCTGACTCAGTGAAACCACATCACCTCCGGCCCCAGAAATGCCTCTTCTGGCCCAGAGCCGTTCCTGCCCTGTTAGTGCCAGTCCTCGGAGCATCCTGATGGCTCAGGAGAAGAAGAACAGATTTAATTAACTCCCAGTGACTGGCAGTGTCGTGTTTTTATCTGGGCTGCGTCGCCATGGCAGCCTCATGGCGGGGCTGTCGAGGGGGCGGGCAGAGCTATTGTTCCTGCCATTGTCTGTTCTGGAACACAGGCCTGGGAGAAGGGACTGGCACGGGCACCAAGTGGCACATGGTTGAAGGCTGCCATGGAGCCAGACAGGAGCCATCTGGGGAGAAGGGGGTGGCCCGTGGCCTGGCTTCCCCCCGGTGTGGGGCTCAGGCTTGAGTGTGCTTGCCTTTGGCACGCTGAGCGTGGCAGGGCCTGGGCAGCCCGGGCAGCAGCACTCCGCCACCCATTAAGCTAGGGTTTCGCGGCCAGCCTGGGCTCGGATGGCAGCTCCGACACCTGCCACGCACACTGCCAGTGGTTCCCCCATTCCCGCAGAACAAGCATCGTTTCCGTTTCCCCAAAGGCTGTGTGTGAAAGCCCGGCGTCCGGTGTGCAGGGCCGGCCCGCTTCTGTTCTGCGGGGCTGTGAGCCGTCGCCTGCCCCCTCACCCTCAGTCAGAGCTGCCCCCACACTCAGGGTGCCAGGTTGGCCCCTGGGCCCCGGCCGTGCAGGGGAGAAGGTGCCTGGAGACGCCCATCGGGAGCGAGGCCAGGACCAGGTGGGCACGAAGGACGCGCTTCCGTGTCTCGCCCGGTGTTCCTCCCTCCGCGCAGAGGGCGAGGCACGGGGAGGCGGCC